CAGTGGCAGTAATTGTGTGTTTTTAGTGCATTGACTCCATTAGCAAAAAGCCAAGTACAGCTGGGCAATGGTGGCCCACGCCTTTAATCCCAGTGGTGGGGAGGCGGAGGCAGGGGGATCTATGGATTTGAGGCTAACTTGGACTATATAATGAGCTCCAGGAGCCAGGACTACACAGAGAAACCCTGTCTCAGGGCAAGGGGCAGAAGTTTGGCATTTGTCTAAGTGCCCTAAGTTCCGTGCTCACGGTCTCACTGGACAGTTTTCAAGTGTGTGACAAGCCAGGAGGAAGGTGACCTAGTACAGTATACATTATTAGTGAGGGGAGGGAGAGCTCAGAGGCCACACTGCACCGCTCCTCTGTCCCTCAGGAGGATCACCCTGCACAGGACAGGAACCTTGCCCTTCCTCTGGGCCTGCACCGGGTGCCATTCCCAGATGCCAGGCCCACTTGCTGGGCCCTCCAGACTCCTCTTTTCTCCACACCCCTTCCATCCCTTACTTTCCTCTCTTTCCCTTACACCCCTGTCCCATTCTTTTCTCTTGGGGACTACAAATGTTTATGCATTGTTGCCTTAAAAGCAATACACTTTGAGTCCTTAGACAACCATTTGGCTTAAACTACCACTCATATTTTACAACCGGCAGTGGGGACACGCCAGAGAGCAGCACCAGGTCCTGGAAAAGCTCTTACTGGGAGTAATAAGTCCAGAATTGGTGATGAAGGAAATTTTCTGGCAGGCCTCTCACCGAAGCCCAGAGCCCAAACAAGCCCAGGCAGCCGTGTTAACAGCTCTACAGAGTAAGGTTTCACATGGTCAGCGTTGAGTATTTCATAAACCCAAGTTGAGATCCAGTTAAACTGTGTTTTATCCATGGGCTTCAAGATATATATATATAAATATATATTCTTTGTAAGCCTCAGTGTTCTCATAAAAGAAGGCTAGTGTGAAAGATATATGGACGCTTAAAAAGCCTTAGCATGGTGCCGAATTCACACAGCATACTCAGTCCTGTTAGGGAAGCGAGCTCTAGAAGAACAAGGCCTGGACTTCTGTCCTGCCTCTTCTGTTCATTAGCCACGTGTCCTGCTACTGACTTGACTTCTCTGTGCCTGGTTCCCTCATTTGCAAATTTATTATCAACAGTGAATCTACCTCAGAGAGTGTTTCACAGATAAGCTCCTAAATGTGGCACTAAGGTGACTTTGTCCTTCTTTGACTTGAAGTAGGATAATGCTTCCTTGTCCCCAGGAGTCACTGAGGCACGTGATATTTGTGGAGAAAGTCACTGATATGTCTCTCTGAGAGGCGTGTAAGCGTACAACTCAACAACATTCCAGATGGGACAGGCTCCTGCCGCTGGCTTAAGCTGTTCGGGTCCTGCTGCTGGCTTAAGCTGCTGTCGTGAGCAAGAAATAGACGAGAGAGAGAGAGAGAGAGAGAGAGAGAGAGAGAGAGAGAGAGAGAGAGAGAGAGAGAGAGAGAGAGAGAGAGAGAGAGAGAGAGAAGGAAGGGGACAGCTGAGATTTTGACACTGTTGCCATGGCAAAGCCTTGCATATTCTGACTGGCACCCTGTAGGAACAGCCTTAACTCTAGACCGGAAACACAGGAGTCAGCTAAGACAAGTTGAAAACACCAAAAGTGATGAGATGCCTGGCCACTGGGCCTCTCAAGATTCTTGGGTTCTGACCTTGTGACCTGGATGTAAATCTGTATGTTCAGGAGGCCTGAAATAACCATTGTTGTGGAAGTAGCTGCTTATTGGAAAGACCTGTCCCTTGGATGTCCAAATCCAGGTGACCTTTCTGTGCAGAGCAGAGGTCTATTGCACTGGCCTTGGGACTAAGGAGACAGTTCCTAGCCATCTTTGGTTCTGATCTGCAAGCTCTGAGCCTTGTCCCTTGTCCCTTAGGGATCTCATAAGCCATTGTCTGTTGTTATAACAACGCTAACTGACTTAGAGATTTGTTCGGTCTGTGATGATGAAGGAAGCAGGGGTCCAAATAGCATGGCACCAGCATCCTCCTGGGGTGCCCCACCACCGCCATGGCATCACAACATGACAGAGGAGCAGAAAGGGAACCTGACATGTGCAGAAGGGGCAAAGAATGTGGGGTGGCCTTACCGTTAGCAACCCACTGCCAAATAAGAAAATGTACTTCTGTGAAGCCAGCATGACTGTGACTGCGTCCGTGATGGCAGAACCATCATAGCAGTCCTCCCATGGCTGGGTCACCTCAGCACGGGTACATGGACCTCTGGGGACCTCTGGGGTCCTCTGGGGACCTCTGGGACAAGTTACGTGCTAACCAAAGAGGATTCACAGGCGCCCCCTCCCCTTCCGGTTTTGTTGCCTGGGTTTTCAGGGTGTCCTCGCACATCTTGTTTTCTTCCTGTAGAATCCAGAGAGGTAAACGTACAGCAGCTAGCCTAAGTGCTGAGCCCTGAGCCCACGCCTAAGTGCCACACTGTGCCAGAATTCAGGGTGGTTGTGAGTTGCCTTGGGACACTGTGCAAGAGGCCTGAGTGGCTGCAGAGATGACTCAGGGTCAGGTTTTGATGTCTGTCCAGGGTTCAGCCTTTTCCTCAGCCTTTGACCTAGAACACTGAGTGGAAAGGTCTCTGCTGCCGGAAGAAAACACAATTAGCAATGGTATTTCTCTGGGATGCTAGTGGTCTGCCTTTTACCCAAGTAATAACAGCCTGGTCGTTGCGGGAGGGCTGGGGGAGTCAGGCATCCTTTTTAAAAGCAGCCAATCTTCCTGCCAAAACACTATTACATTGGCTTCATTTCTTAAATGGGATAATACAGAAAAAGCCTGATAAAGAATGACCCCTCATCGCCCCGTGTTGTAAAAATAGCCATTGTTCAAACAATGGTGCGTGTTTTTCTTTCACATTTTACATAAAAGTATGTTTTTAAATGAAACTGGGAAGATGACAGGAAACACTGGTGGAAGCCATTCTGTGTTCCAGGGTTCTGTAGCTCCTTGTTTTTCACTCATTTATTCTTCACGGTGACTGGAGAATATCTGTGTGCGTGTGTGTGTGTGTGTGTGTGTGTGTGTGTGTGCGTGTGTGTGAGAGACAGAGAGAGAGAGAGAGAGAGAGAGAGAGAGAGAGAGAGAGAGAGAGAGAGAGAGAGAGAGAGAGAGGGAGGGAGGGAGGGAGAGAGAACTGGGTGTCCTCTTCATGTATTCCTTGAGACAGGCTCTTTTCACTAACCCTGCTAGAAACCAGGCAGCCCCAGGGATCCTCTAGTCTCCACAGTCTCCATGGCATGGGGGTTATATGTGTGTGCACCGCCCTACCCTCCCGTTTTTATAGGTGCTGGAGATTTGAACTCCGGTCCTCATGGTTGAACAGCAACCACCCTTACCCACCCCGCCCTTCTTTAAGGAATCTTTAAGTGCATTTTTGCAGAGGAAGAAACTGAGACAAGGAGAGGTTAAGTCATTTTCAGAGGCTGTACAGTTTCTAAGGAGAGCGAGAAGATGAGAGAGAGTGAAGTCTGCCTCCATAGGCCTCCGTCTCGACTGTTCCATTACCAACTTCAGTTTGTAGTGTGCTGTGTTTCCTCAAAGTATACAACATTCACCCTGGTGTCTATTCCCCCATTCTAGAGATTGGGTGATAGAATCCCACACGTGTGACTCAGTTTACCCAAAAGCATGCAGCTAGTAGCCATCAGTGCTGGAACAGACCCACCTTCCCTCATGCACACAGTCCTTGTACAGGCTGACTGCAGTGATCCGGGAACCTCTGACCCCCTCCCACAGGCTAACTCTGAAAGCGCGTTGCACCATCCAGGGGCCGGTGCCAATTCCAGGATAAGTGGTGCAGGGAGGACTCAGCTCTCCTCCCCACACATACACATTGTTTCAGTTGACTCCCGAGAAACCTGTGGGCATTGAGCACGCCTCAGTCGTCTCTGCAATGCTCAGGCTTTGTTCAAAAGACCAAAATATGCATCCCCCAAATGGTTCTGCCACTCTTCAAATGTTTTTTAACTGAGGTTTGCTGGCAGGCAGTAAGGCTGACTGATTGGAGCTTTAAGTGCTGTTGGCTGTCCCCAACCCAGAGACTTGAGGACACGCCAAGCATTGTTACAACTTTAAAGTAAGGTAGAAGTCAGTCGGTCTCCTGGGAGTAAACACGGCTCTGAGATAAGGCTGCCCCGGACCTGTAGAACCAGGGACTGTCTGGGTGGCTGGTGGGGCCAGGACCTGTAGAACCGGGGACTATCTGGGTGGCTGGCAGGGCCAGGAGTATGGAGAACTGAAGAAAGGTGGGCCAGTGGTGACTTACTGATGAGTTTTTCCAGGCACCCCATCAAACATTTCTCTTCAGACATAATAGGAGAATTCTAAATGTCAGTTGTTTTTCTATGTTTATATAACTTAATTTGATCTCATCTATGAATTCTAAGAGGGCAAGAACAAGTACTTATGGGATCATAAACAGGGTTGGGCAAAAAAAAAGACAAGAATGTTGTGTAATTAGGCCAAACCAATGGCCATTGCTTGGATTCCCTGGAGGGTAGAGTAATGTTGCTGTGATTGGCAGGGCCCAGGAGTGCTGCTCCTCTGCTATAAACTGATGCAGCTGCACAAGCATGTTCACATTGTAAATGTTCATGGTGCTGCACATGCTGACATCTTTCCTGACTGTCAGCTATGCTTCATCTAACGATTGGAAGTCCTCGTTTGGATTTCTGTGATACTTAGGTGTCTTTTTAGTTGAATCTATTTGGAACAACCTGGGTCCTAGGAAACAACTCTACCTAGAATTGTCAGGGCTATATGGCCAGAACACTTGAGGCTGTGTTTTTTATTCTGTGAATTGGCATCTTGAATGACTTCGATGTAAACTCTTGAAATAAAGAGTGATGTCAGTTTAGTTGATCAGTTGTTGACAACCCTTTGTGAATAAAGGAAGTGCTGGCCAAGGCTGGGTACAACTGTGACCTCATCTCTGCTGTTTCGCTCTCCTGCAGATGACTGGTGGTTAAAGTACATGGATGAGCAATAAGAGCGGGATTAAGTAGGACCACATGATAAAAGGGCAGTAAGAAGGCTCTCAGAAAGAAACGGCTTCCACCGGCACTGCGAAAGCTTGGGGAAAGAGGCATTTGAGTGGCTGTCAGAAGCATGGTAGGTTTTTGATAAGAAGTAGACAAGTAGCAGGCACTGAGAAAGTCCTCGGGATACTCACATTCTCCACTCATTGCTGACCGGCTCTCTTAGGATCAGTGGCATCCGTCAAATGCAACTGAGGCTTGAAAGGTGAGCTGGGCCTTTGCAGTGACAGGGTGGTGTGGTTTCAACTGGGAGGTCTTAGGAAGTCACAATCGGCACCTTGGAAGTATGATCAGATCAGTTACCTGCTGCAGAATTCAGTTCCCAGCCTCTGACTGTATAGCCCCATGAACTGCCCTGTCTCTCAAATCAGCATTTGCTAGGTTTAGTGGGTTTTGTTGTTCTCATTTGGACCCATTGCTGTTCCAGTTTAGTAATGAGCCGTGGGTACATAGATTCCATGAGCTCTCCGTGACCACTCTTCTGGACCCGAAGATCGCCATGTACCTGACACTCCTCCTTCCTGACCAACCAAAGCTACAGTTCCTCTGTCCTCTTCTTACAGACGTCTTATTTTCTAGTCTCACAGTGATTTGGCATCTATTTCCTTCTAGCCTGACTTGAGTGACCCTTCACGATGCTCTTCCATCAGATAAAGCAACATGAAAGGATCTCTTTCATGGCAACCGTGTGTAAGAGAGGGACCAAGAGAGAACACTGGCTACAGGTTTTGTAGGAGGCTTCGCCTGCTGACCTTTGCCTAACTTCAGAATCGCTTCTTCCTGATAAGGCACTGGGCAGGATTTAGGTTGCTGGCAAAGACTTCATACTCAGGCTGAAAGTGGTCTGTAATGGGCCACTCAGACACTGTAGGGTCTGTCTTATTAATTCTTCACTCACCTTTTGCTACTAGCTTACTGGTCCCTTTACAGTGTGAGAAGGGGTAACTTCCGCCAGCACTTTCCTTGTCTCCTGTTGGGTACCATCAAGGCGTTGTTCTTATCAAGGGGATATCAACTCAACAACTGAGATGTTCTGGTTTAGATGTCATGATTGGAGACAGTGTTCATACTCTACATTGGCTAATTTTTTCATCCTCTGAGGACAGAATCTGATTAATAGGGCTTGAGGTGACTCGGGTGCAAACCCTGGATCTGCAGCACTCAGTTCCGACATGTGTGTGGCTTCAGCATGAGTCTTACCTAGCTCGGTAATAACCACCAAACAAGATCCCTAGGCACACCTCAGCAGACTTAGCGCAGTGTCTGTTTTTAACCTTTTACAGCACCAACTTCTAACCCTGACCACAATGCCCAGTGCCACTTTATAGTTCTTTGTCTGGATAACCTGGGAGTGTAAAATCAGTGTCATGCTATCTTTGTATTATCACAGTGCTTCTCAACCAGGGGGTCGCATATCAGATGCCCTTCATATCAAATATTTACATTACAATTCACAACAGCAACGTTACAGCTATGAAGTAGCAATGAAGTAACTTTATGGTTGAGTCACTACAACATGAGGAACTGTATTAAAGGGTCACAGCCTTAGGAAGGTTGAGAACCACTGTATTGTCATCTGCTTGATTGTTTTAATCACTGTGGTTGTAGTTTGGAGTTATTTGCTTCCATATAGAGATACCATTCTATTATTCAATTATCAAGTTAATCACACACCATACAGTTGTCACATCTGCTGAAAATAATTTTCTTGATAGATGCATCTGTTAACGTTTTCTTCTTCTTCTTCTTCTCCTCCTCCTCCTCCTCCTCCTTCTTTCTTTCTTTCTTTTTCCCTGTTTTGCTAAATGACTGGGTTCTGAATTAGAGGCATTGCCCATAGTAAAGTCCACTGTGAGGAACAAGCCTCCAAATTACACGGGTACTTGAGAAACCAGAGCTGACTGGGTTCCTCGTTCCATTATGCATTTTCTACCCTGGAAACTGACAGCTACCACATACAGATGGCAAACCTTCTACACTGGAGACAGGATTTCACATCTAAGCAGTGTACCACACACACAGTTCGAGGTAGGCACTGGGCTGACCTGCCTTCTTAAACTTGGGAGCATAGTACAGAGTGTTCATCCTGTGACACAAGCAGTCGGACAATCTAGGACTTAACATACACGCCACACTAGCAAGTTCCATCACACTGAATGTCTCATTTGCTTCAGGTGTCAATGTGTTTCTTGTGCTCCTTCAGGTAGAACGTCATGACATGAATACCCTCAGCCTACCCCTGAACATACGCCGAGGGGGGTCAGACACCAACCTCAACTTCGACGTCCCAGATGGCATCCTGGACTTCCACAAGGTCAAACCCAACGCAGACAGCCTGAAACAAAAAATCCTAAAGGTGACAGAGCAGATAAAAATCGAGCAGACGTCCCGCGATGGGAACGTTGCCGAGTATCTGAAGCTCGTCAGCAGTGCTGACAAGCAGCAGGCTGGGCGCATCAAGCAGGTGTTTGAGAAGAAGAATCAGAAGTCGGCACACTCGATTGCCCAGTTGCAGAAGAAGCTGGAGCAGTACCACAGAAAGCTGAGGGAGATTGAGCAGAACGGAGCCTCTCGAAGCGCAAAGGACATTTCTAAAGACAGCTTGAAGGAAATACACCACTCTCTGAAGGATGCCCACGTGAAATCTCGAACTGCTCCCCACTGCCTGGAGAGCAGTAAGTCGAGCATGCCCGGGGTGTCCCTCACGCCTCCAGTGTTTGTCTTCAATAAGTCCAGAGAGTTTGCCAATTTGATCCGGAATAAATTTGGCAGTGCCGACAACATCGCTCACTTGAAAAATTCCCTGGAAGAGTTCAGGCCTGAGTCCAGCACCAGGGCTTATGGGGGCAGCGCTACCATCGTGAACAAACCCAAGTATGGCAGCGACGACGAGTGTTCTAGTGGCACATCAGGCTCAGCGGACAGCAACGGGAACCAGTCCTTCGGGGCTGGTGGGGCCAGCACGCTGGACAGCCAGGGGAAGCTTGCCATGATCATAGAGGAACTGAGAGAGATCAAGGACACCCAGACTCACCTGGCAGAGGACATTGAGGCCCTGAAGGTGCAGTTTAAGAGAGAGTATGGCTTCATCTCTCAGACTCTGCAAGAGGAGAGATACAGGTATGTACGCCAACGCATCACACTGGGATTCCTTTAGAACCGTAAGTTACCAGCCAGAGAGGCTATCTGCCTAAAAGGCATGCGCTAATGAATGAGTTTGCAATAGGTATGGATGTGGATACAGAGGCATTTGCAATTGATGATTCTTTCCATCCTTCATAACTCTAGTCTCCATAATTTCTGGCTTATGGCTGACCGAGGAAGACATTGTAATGCTTGGGTCTCTTAAAACACCATTATCCAAGCTGTGACTCACATGCATATGAAGGCATTGATTTATCAGACATTTGAAATGGACTTATTACACTAATTTAGAGACCTGTTTCCCTCCGTAATATCAGACAAGTGAACCTAATTCACTGGACAACAAGGTAGATTTTAATTTGGTATATCAGCTTGAAATATACATATCGTGTTCACTAAACTTGTTTTTTAGCCTTACACAGACTGGAGGGATGGTTCAGTGCGTAAAGTACTTGCTGTGCAAGAATGAAGACAACAGTCCAGATACCCATGTAAAAGCTGGGCCTGGCAGTGTAAATCTGTAAGCCCAGCACTGGGGGCGGTAGAGAACAGTGCAGGTCTGTAAGCCCAACACAGGGGGCGGTAGAGAGCAGTGCAGATCTGTAAGCCCAACACAGGGGGCGGTAGAGAACAGTGCAGGTCTGTAAGCCCAACACAGGGGGCGGTATAGGGCAGTGCAGGTCTGTAAGCCCAACACAGGGGGCGGTAGAGAGCAGTGCAGGTCTGTAAGCCCGACACAGGGGGCGGTAGAGAGCAGTGCAGATCTGTAAGCCCAATACAGGGGGTGGTAGAGAGCAGTGCAGGTCTGTAAGCCCAGCACTGGGGGCGGTAGAGATGGGCAGACCCCTGGAACTTGCTGCTCAGCCAGCCTAGCCAGGTTCAGTGAGAGACCCTATCTCAGAAAATAAGGTGGAGAATGGCTAAGGAAAACAACTGGCATCAGCCCCTGACCTGTACACACACCCACAGCACAAATATAAATATGTTCACAAAGGTACCACACACACAAGCATTTTACTGTAAATAAGTGGTTCTCAAACACCGTCTTGAGATTAATATACTAACCCAAATCTTTTGAGGGTCACTCAGCTGTTTGTAGAAGTACGTGTTTTGGGTCGAGCGGTGGTGGCACACACCTTTAATCCCAGCACTCAGCCGGCAGAGGCAGGCGGATCTCTGTGAGTTCGAAGCTGGGCTGGACCGACAGCCTCCAAAACAACACAGAGAAACCTTGTCTCGTAAAAACAAAAAACAACAAAAAAAAAGAAGTACGTGTTTTGGAAGCTGGCATTTATATGTTTATTGCTTCTTAATAAAGAGTGTAGATAACCAAATGCAAGATTATTTGTCCCATTTGATAAAAAGATCACCCCAAAGCCCTTCAGTCAAAATGGGCTAATTTGTAAGAATATAAGGTAGATTGTGGATGTTTATTATATAGTAAAACATTTAAATTGTAAGTTTAACTTTCACACTGTATTACACTTGATATATAATTTTATGTCATGATTTAGAATGTGGCTCTTTCCCCAAGTTTATGCAACTTCATTCTGATGCCAAGATTTGAACCTGGGCCTCATGTGTCTTAAGTGTGTTAAGTGTGTGCTGTACCACTAAGACATATCTCCAGCCCCGAAACCATTTTTTAACTTTACATCTGTGTCTTTGATGTCAGTGTGTTCATTGTACAAAGCCATGGCTTTCCGAGAATGCATTGACCTTAGTAATTTCATCCACATAGCTTGAGATGTAGTATGTTTTGCATTCATGTCTTATCCCAAATCACAGACACTCACTTGTGTGAGTTTTGAACTGTCTTTGCTTTCATGTGTCCTGTGTTTTGTTTGTGGCCCTGGAGATATAGTCATTGGGAGCATTATCTAGAGAAGGCTTGCCTAGAGCAATGATAACGCTTGGCACCCTTGAAGCTGAGCCCAAAGATAATCACCAAATCTGAATTAAGCCTTTCACCTACTTAAAAAAGTGATCCTATCAGATGGCCCACATAAATACCTATAACTGGCATGGGCCAGTCATTCCAGGCAAAGGCATCCTCCCTAGATACTACTCCCAAACCCACATCTCTGGGGTGGGTATGGGAAAGAAGCTGTCTTTCTCTCACTTTTGGATTTTTGGATTGCTATCCCATAAGCCATCTATAATTTGTGATAAGTTTAATCTTAAAGTGGGTTTTTTAATATTTATTTATTTTTATTTTATGTGTATGAGTATTTTGCCTGAATGTATATCTGTGCACCATGTGCGTACAGTGCCCATGAAGCCAGAAGAGGGTGTCGGTTTCCCTAGAACTGGAGTTACAGACAGTTGTGAATGTTGGGATTTGAACCTGGGTCCTCTGGAAGAGCAGCCAGTGCTCTTCACCTCTGAGCCATCTCTCAAGCCCTGGGGTTAATTATTTATTAGACTAGAGAAAAGCATGTCAGGTGTTTACTGTGCGTTGGTAGGATTGACTACGGGAGTGGAAAACTTCATTCTTTTCCTCATGGGCTGTATGGCCCTACAATCCCAATTACTGATGGGCAGGAGAGGGAGATGTCACTGCAGATGCGGCCAGTCCTGGCTTGCCCTTGCTGCACAGCCATCTCATAGCTAAGGGCAACTGCGTGCTCCACAAAGTGAATCTGTTGTCATGGCAGCCAGTCCAGGTGCTGGTCGTCTGACATGGGTGAAAAAAAAAAAGCAGGTGTGATCTCAGTAAAGTCTCAGACATACAGTTAAGATTGCAGAGACCGGGTCCCTTCTAGAATAGGGATTCAGGGGTAGCCAAAATGGTGTTCCCCACAAGTAGGCCTACTCTTTCAGGAAAAGTCTTCCAGGGGATGAAAACAAGCCAGGGGCCCTAAGACAAAAAAAGGCATCATTCTAGAACATGCTGCTGGGACACCTGTGCAATGCTCAGTGTGGACTCGTCTTTTTCAGGTATGAGCGGCTTGAAGACCAGCTTCACGACCTGACGGAGCTCCACCAGCATGAGACGGCCAACCTGAAGCAGGAGCTAGCCAGCGCCGAGGAGAAGGTGGCCTACCAGGCCTACGAGCGCTCCAGAGACATCCAGGTATGGGTCTCCCGACTGGACCCCGGTGGAGGATTCCCAGGCTGTAATTAGACGGTCTGACTTGGTGCATTTCCCTAAGACCTCATGCATGTCCGGCAAGATGTTTTCTCTACACAGACATTTCCCACCCACCTCCAGGCCCTACTGGCTTGTGTTGACAATGTTACGGAGGCATTTTACCCTGTCCTCCTGTTGCCTAACTCAGTTGGCAAGTATTTATCACTAGCCTAAATCCAACACCGCCAAAATGTTACGGAATGTAAAGTGTTAGCTAGGCAGCCCTGCCTTCAGGAAACTTCCTGTATAGGCAGGGAGTGATCAAGAGCCATGCTCCATAGTGCAGCTCCAGTGCCCCAGAAACCCAGCCCTGCTGTACCTCAGTGGCTGGGATAGGAGGAGGGAGTGGGGGTGGCAGTCAGGCATTCCGTGGTAGACACTGGATTTGAGGCCCAGGCCTGTTATTTGCCCTGTGATTTTGAGCGAGCCTCGAGTCTCTTCATCTTTAAAGCAATTGCTTTGTAATTGGAGGAACCTCAAGCGTCTGACTGCCAGCCTCGGCCAAAGTACTGTATGGGTCTATTCTTTCCTGTTTACTCAGTAGCCCTTGGAGGTTGTTCCTATTGTTGGCCCCATTTCTCAGATCTGGAGACTGAGGCACAAAAGAGGCAAAGTGACCCGAGCAAGGTCTTGCAAGTTGTCCCTTAGGAGTGGCTAAGAAGGCTGGACTGAAAGGGACAGGCAGGACCCAGGAGGGTGACAGGAAGGGATGAGCAGACCCACATAGTTTATGACACGCACTAAGGCCAGCTTCCTTCTGAAGCCCCCAGGCTGCTGGGAAGCAACACTTGATTCTTGATCACCTTGCTGAAGAAATCATAAGAACAACCAGGAAGGGTAAAGTTGAGTCTCGTTTTTCAGATTTTCCCTGTAGTCTGTGTGTGAGCATGAGGAAGGCCGTCTGCCCTCCGAATCCCGCCTCACAGGGGAGAAGGCTGGAACATAAAAGAGGGTGGGCTCTCCCTAGAGTGTGAGCTGTCGTTTGCCGCGTGCATTTTATTCTGCTCTGGTGGAGGCTGGGTTTGCTGATCCCAGAGGTCTGCTCCGTCAGTTCTGGGAAGCGTGGCTCCAGCGCTGGCAGGAAACACTGTCCCCAGAGAGCAGAGGACACTGGGGGACTATGTAGGCTATTCTCCGAGTGAAGAGCCTCAGCGTCCCCACTGACTGGGCCGGGAACGGACCTATTATCTATTAAGACACTCACTCTGCTTAAGATATTTTTATTACGTTTATTCTCTCTCTCTCTCTCTCTCTCTCTCTCTCTCTCTCTCTCTCTCTCTCTCTCTCTCTCTCTCTCTCTCTCTGTGTGTGTGTGTGTGTGTGTGCGCGTGCGTGCGTTCAGGCGTGCCACAGCACACATATGATGGTTACAGGACAACTACACGAGTTAGTTCCTCTCTCTACCTGTGGGTCTCAGGAATCCAATTGGGTTCGTCAGAATGGGCAGCAGGCGCCCTTGCCCGCTGAGCCGCCTCGCCAGCCCTGAGGCCATCCTCCTTTAGAGCAGGTCTGGGATATCACAGGGTGGTGTCTAAATGTGCCGTCTCCTCATTTAGGGGCTGGTTTGGGTTGGCATTGTTCTCGCTTTTTTAAGAAGCCTATTCCGGGAGTGAGGAGGTCAGCTCCAGGGCGGGGCTCCACAGAGCAAGCGCTAACTTCAGAAGCACTCATTTCAACATTTTCCAGCTCCGTCTCTAGTCAGAACTAGAAAGGACAGCTTGATAAATGGCAGGGGTCACGGAGGCTCAAAGCAGGCCCTACTACTCAGTCTCGGCATGAGCCTGGCCAAGTCAGTGCGCTGTGCCTCGGATTCCTCCGTCTTCAGAAGGTCCAGAAGATCAAATAGGATCCGATATTTATTGTCCCAGAGTCTTCGCCGGGCGTGTCATAAACAGCCGAGAAGTTAGTGCTGCTATTCTTTTTTATCTTACTGTTGAGTAGCAACGTTCCCCAAGGCTCTTAGCTAGCGAACCTCTCCAATTTCCTCTTTGTTGCTTATTGTCCTCGGTTCTTGTAAGTGGGCCTCTGACAGGGACGAGCTACAATGGGGCATGTGTTGCGTGCCCTCAGACCTACACATTTTTTGCTGTTCTTTTAAGTGATTGACCCCTGCGACCCCCTTTAAAATCCTGAATATCCAATTTAAACTACTGAAGATAATCCCTTCCTCTGTCTTCATCCAAAGCAAGGTAAATGCTAGATCAAGGATTTCTAACCATCATGGGGCTTAATATCTCTTGCTGCCATGGGCAAACTGCCTTGGATCTTTCTTTTAGTAAGAAACTGGTAGCAGTTCTGAGGTGACGTCCAAGTTTAGTCTGAGAAGATGGGAGGTGGGGGGAGTGGGGGGAGCGGGAGGAGAGGAAGGGGGGAACTGGGATTGGAATGTAAAAAATAAATTAATAAAAAAGTATTAAAAATAAACTCTAACCATAAATAAAAACAAAACAAAGAAGATTAGTCTGAGGAGATGTGGACTTCTCCACCCTAGACAGAGAAAGGGCCGAAATGACAACCCTCTGTCTTGGTCTGTCACCCTTTTCATGCCACGCCTAAAATGGGAAAGGCCTGGACCCCGAAGCTGAAGGCAAGCCTGCCCGAGCGCACATGCCTGTTAGTGCCGACAGCCAGCCCCGCTTAAATGTGAAGATCTGAAAAAGTTTTATCCTTTGCTCAGGAGCCTAGTGTAATGAAAGTTGCTATAGTAACAGAGAACCCTGTTCTTTGGCCCAGAGAGTATGTTCAGCAGGAGAAAAGCAAATCAATGTTGGAGCCATTATGCTTGCTTAAAGCCCGGAAAGGTGACCGTACCCAGCTGCACAAGCACGTTGGCAAACAGTTGTAGCAATGCTGGTGGAGGAACAGGCATCTAGCGAGGCTCTTTGTTCCCAAGGGGCTCGGGCTTGCCTCTGGGAAGCGGCACCCTGTTACGGGCAGCCAGCCTCTTCAGCCTGTGTGTGTTCCAGAGTGGGCAGTGAGGGCAAGGTCCGCCCGGTCCCTGTCTGCACGCTCCACCGTGTGTGCCTCCCGGCTATGCCTCCCCGCTGGCCAGGGACTTGCCGGGTCAAGGAGGGCGTGTCTCGGGAAATGTCCCTGAGAATGAGACCTCCTCCGAGAGACGAGGCAGCTCCACAGGTGAAGAGAGCAGGTGCCTAAGGGTCTCCAGCGGTATAGGCTGCCGGGACAAAGTCCCCCAGCATTTTCAGAACCCGGAAGAAATCAGTTCGGCCCAAGCGCTGTGTGAAGGCTGGAGAAGGTGGCCGAGCATAGGCCAAGCCAGGATTTGAAAAGCGTTATGAGCGAGGGGTCAGAGACGTGCATCTCTCGAAGGTCACGTGGGCCGTGTGGCTGGTGGAACATATGGCTGTCAAATCACGGCAAGCAGGAGGTCCTGGTGCCCGCAAGTGGGATGGGAACTGCCTGGGAGACAAATGGATTAAGACGGATAGTGGGCGCTGCTCTGGGGGAGCCAGCAGATGCTGGACAAGGGGCGTGTCAAGGGGCGTGTCAAGGGGCGCTCTCGGACTTTTGCCGTAGGCGTCCTAGTGGTATTCAGATGTAGCTTCACCCCTTCTCACTTGGTTCCTGACAACAGTGTTTCCTGTCACTTTGTCTCCTGTATAAATGAATAAGATAGTTATGGTCAGGTGTGATAAATAGTAAGTGACTCTAATCTCAGATCCCAGCACTTGGGAAGGTTGAGGCAGGACGGTTAGAAGTTTAAGGCCAGGTTGGGCCACTTCCCAAGAGACCTTGTCACCAAAAAAGCAAACAAACAAGTAAACAAAAGCACATCACCAAGCTGCTCGCTTATGCTGGGTCTTTTTTGTTTGTTTGTTTGTTTGGTTGGTTGGTTGGTTGGTTGGATTTTTTGGCGGGGGGGGGGAGTTGAGACAGGGTTTCTCTGTATTGTTTTGGAGGCTGTCCTAGAACTGGCTCTGTAGACCAGGCTGACCTCGAACTCACAGAGTTCTGCCTGCCTCTGTCTCCCAAGTGCTGGGATTAAAGGTGTGAGCCATGAACGCCAGGCCAGCTCATGCTGTTTTATGGTTGCATACACATGTGCTCACTACCCATGTCAGGGTAAAATGAGTCTTGGGATTCCTGCCTTGTACCTTTGTCTGTCACCGTCAGTTTGGAGACTTACAACTGCCCAGGTGCTAGGCGTCCTGAGCCAGAGCTTCCGGCACACCTGGGCGCATGCTCCCACAAGGCCTGTGATCCCAGTGGCGGCTGATCCTTGCTCTCCTCTTGCCCGCAGGAAGCCTTGGAGTCTTGCCAGACGCGCATCTCGAAGCTGGAGTTGCATCAGCAGGAGCAGCAGACGCTGCAGACAGATGCCGTGAACGCCAAGGTGCTGCTAGGGAAGTGCATCAACGTGGTCCTGGCCTTCATGACCGTCATCCTGGTGTGCGTGTCCACCCTGGCCAAGTTTGTCTCACCCATGATGAAGAGCCGCCTCCACATTCTTGGCACCTTCTTTGCGGTGACTCTTCTGGCAATATTTTGTAAAAACTGGGACCATATTCTGTGTGCCATAGAAAGGATAATAATCCCAAGATGAGCCGCTGGTTCTTGCCTTCACTTTCTCTCAAGATTTTATTTTGAAGAAAACTCTGTGCGCACCACCAAATTTCTGAACGAACGGCTGTGCCAAAGATGGCGAGAAGGACTGAAGCCGTGTGCTGTAAATAACTAGAGTCTCCTAACCCAGTAGCTGTTGCCAACATGGTCCCCGTACGTGGTTCATGAGAAACTGTCCCAGAGGTCTATTCCCACATTGCTCACTGCCTTAACCAGAGCAGATCTCCAGCCCACCTGGCGAGCTCGGCATGGCAAAGCCCTGCTCACTGAGCACTTGGCATGAAGAGTGACCCAGAGGAAAAGGGCCTCTGTCTCTCTCCCATGAATCTCTGTCACGTTGAGCCTCGTGATTGCAAACAGCTGTGTTCTCTCTGAGCCCCACAAACAGCAAGGATACAGCAGGATTCGGGGGAGCGAGCAAACACAAGTTATTGGCAGTGTTGAGCCCTTGGGTGGCCTACGGAGGCTCAGTCAGTCTCTCTGTGACGTATCCCACTTGTCCACGGGTGACTCTGTGTCCTATTGTGTACCCGGTGTTCACATTAGTCAATTGCCTATGTCCTTGTAACATGGAAATCTTATAGCTGCTTAAACGGCAAGAGTCTGCCTAACCGGTAGCGCTGCACTTTACAACAGTAGACACTAGGGTTTACAAATGGGGTCTCCTCTTCTTATGCCCAGGGAACCACACACCTGATTTCATCTTACCTGGTTAGCAGTGCCCTGCCCTCGGAGCTTGGAGCTGCGCTACCGTCAGACTGTAGCTTTGATGATGCTGTGGGGTGCTTTGAGCATCCCAGGGGAGGCTTATGCTCTGGCCATTGTTAACTGTGATAAATTCCCTTAGAGGGTGGGATGCACTTCATGTGACTCACTTTACTCTCAGGTCTGCAGAGATCAGGTTGCAGAGCTTGCTCGGGAAACGAAGACAAGTGATGCTTGTTTCACCGGGTTTCATTTTTCTTGAAGACAACAAAAGCAAACTTTATAAAGCATAAGTGTGCCAAGGCAGGACCCTGGAGGCCTAAGAGGGACGTGAACTTTGGTCTAATTGGATGGCGGCTAGGTTAGTGTCAGGAGGGTCCACTTAGGGAACCAAGTTCCGTGCTGAAGCTCAGTTGCTGCCATCTGTCTTGCAGGCGCATAGTAAGACAAGTTCTGAGTCGCGGGATAAATGTGCTGCCAGTAAGCAGAAAACGTGTGAGGGCTGCTGTGTTCATGGCTGCTGTTTACTGATGAAACTGCTTCTCTTTGTGCAAAGAGAGAGGTCTGGATGCCACCAGCCAGTGTCTGATCCTCCCGCCACACCTGCTGAAGGTGTAAAGATTCTGTTAAATGTTTACTTTCTTCCAGAAGACACTCTCAAAGATCTAGGCATCATCACTTGCAAACGGCTGTTCTTAGGGGCATTCTTGGGGTGGCAGGGGTAGGGGTAAAATTGTGCAGCAGCTTAGACAGGTCCAGCTTATATGAGTGGGACTCACAACTCCAGCCTTTGCCCGCCCCCACTCCCAACTTTTAAATCAATAATTCAGCAATTTTATTAAAGTCACACATTATCTAACTATTACCCTAGCCAATTCCAGAGGCACGCTTTTGAAAAATAATAAACATCATGAAATGCTAAGTACTTGGAAACCAGGGATGGGGGAGTTCCTAGCCCCACTCTTATCCACGACTGTGTCCCCACACAGGGGACAGAAGGAGGTTTCCAGTCCAGAGAACCACAATCTCCCTTTATTCCTGTATTTTAACGGCCTGCTCCCTTACCGGGAGGCAGCAGACTCCATCTGCCTGCACCTTGAAGCAAGCTGGGCCCGGCTGGTCTCCCATTGTCAGTTATGAATATTCCCAAGTGGCTTAGAGCATGCCAGGGCTGGGGTGGCTGTGAGTGAGGCTGGTAGTTTACAGAGTGGGTATAAATGCAGCCTTGGAGGCTTAGGTAGGGCTCTAAGAGAGACCTGTTCTCATGCCAGCACCCACCCCATCCCGGCACACACTCTGTTGATTGACACTTCTCAGACCTGTGATCCTCGTCTCTTCTCCCTGGCGAGAGAGTAGGGAAGGAACACTCCACACTCTAAAATATGAGCTTGGACAGAATCTGTGAGAAACCGGCACCATCCTGAACTAATGGAGTGGGGAGGGAGCACCCAAATCATCATGAATTCCTTCTAAAGAGCTGGCATTTCCATGAACTCCCGTTAAGTGTGGAATCACCACCTTTACCTGGCAGCCCTCGGCCCTTACGGCATCCTTGCTTCGGTCTTGTGGAGAGCTCATGAAGCTTTCTCCTTTTTAAGATTGTACAGGTCTAGGAGACTTCTGTTCTACAGTTCATGATTCTCTTAAGGGCTACACCCCTCTTTAGCTCTCTTCAACATACAGTGTACACACTGGAGAAATCAGAGACAGCGGCACAAGTGTGACATGCCTTGGGATCGGAATGGATTCACAACCGAGTCCGCCGACCCTGTTTTGCACTTTACGTTGGTAGCAAGCATCTCATGGTATTTCTTGGGCTGAGAACCAGTTGTGGAGGAGTAGGCCAGTACCTGCTCTTCTAGGGATACAGGTGAGGGATCCAAGATGCTGGACTGGGGATCTTTGGTGACATCATCATGATCCATCACCAGAATAGTGGCTCTTGAGGACAGGACAGAACTTTCTTTTCTTTTGGTTTTTCGAGACAGGGTTTCTCTGTATTGTTTTGGAGCCTATCCTGGAACTCGCTCGGTAGACCAGGCCGGTCTCGAACTCACAGAGATCTGCCTACCTCTGCCTCCCGAGTGCTGGGATTAAAGGCGTGCGCCACCACCACCCGGCCAGAACTTTAAAATATCAATGATAGCAAATATTAAAACTGTTCTCTCTGTGGGTTTTGAAATTTTTTCTCAGCTCATACTTTTTATATGATTAAGCTAGAACAAACCCCCTCCCAAGAAAAGTAAGCGACCACTCACAATGAGGTGTAACTGGAAGTAGTCTCGCTGATTTTTGGACTGTGAACACACGACCCCCCATCCCAAGTTCCTGGCTCACGGCTTAGTAGTTTTCAGGTGTTCTTATCGGGTCAATCAGCCTCACGCGAGCACTGTCAGTCCTGTTTTTATTTAAGAACTGCCCTCTGTGTGTACTTAACTTCTGGCCACTTCTCCAACAGCTGGTATAATTACAGGTTGGAATGTGGTGAGGGAGCTAGTTTTCCCCCAAGCAACTAATTAGTTTGGTTCTTTGGGGTTGAATTTTAAATGCCAAATTGTTTTGTGTTGGATTGGAATGTATAGTGGGGTTTTTTTTGTTGTTGTTTTGTTTTGCTTTGGTGTCAAATCCAGATCTAATAGTCTGGCACTGGAAAAACAGGTATGCTCATTGATAAGGATGTGTGAGGTTAGACAGCCTATCTTTTTTTTTTTTTTTACGAGACAGGGTTTCTCTGTATTGTTTCAGAGGCTATCGGTCCAGCCCGGCCTCGAACTCACAGAGATCCGCCTGCCTCTGCCTCCCGAGTGCTGGGATTAAAGGCGTGCACCACCATCGCCCGGCTTAGACAGCCTATCTTGCATGTTTCCTTAATTTTGACCTTGGGCAGGGGAATGAATAGGGGCTTATTTGGAGAGATGGTTCAAAGTTAGCAGGTAATTTTTAAGGGGTTTAAAAAGACAAATCACAGAAAACAATTAGATTGGCCTGTTTGTATCAAAAATAAAGAGCTTTAAAATTGAGTCATTAACAGGGTCTGGGTAACTCGTTAAACATAAAGCAAAAATTCAGTTTCCTGCCATGGATTCAATTCTGTTTAAAGAGTCCAGAAGTGATATAACACCTTGTCTGAGGGTGGTTTACATGTTGCCCTCCTCATATTTTTAAAGCATGTCTACTGTGTTTGTCTAAAAGTAACATCTCAACTAAATGTGCTCTGTGTTTAAGATACGCTGAGGCAGTAGCAGCAACCCTGAGTCAGGGTTGCTGACTGCAACCTCTGTTGCAGAATTCCTGTCTTGTGGGATGCTACATAGTTTTGTATCTGCCTAAAATTGTAATTTCTCTGTAGATCTCCCCAATGGTGGTGTCACCAATGAATTCAAAGCAGGTGCCATTATTTTTTAAACACTTGATGTTTGCTTTGGTGTTAAATAAAAAAAACTAGATTTCTTAAATTTTTACACTTGTCAGAGTCCATCTCTGTAGTGTGTGAGTCTGTGGTGTGTGTGTGTGTGTGTGTGTGAGAGAGAGAGAGAGAGAGAGAGCATGTATGCACACACATGTGTATATAAAATTAATTTAATAGACTTTTTAAAAGCAGTTTTAAATTTAGAGCAAAACTGAGAATGATGTATAAAGATTTCTCTTGAATATCCTGCTTTATGTACATCCTTGCCGCCCAGTGTCAACATCTCCCACAAAGTAGTAGCTTTTATTTTTAACATGCATAACTGTTTTGCCTATATATATATATATATATATATATATATATATATATATCATATGTGTGCCTGGTGCATATACATTTCAAAAATGTGTGCCTGATTCCCTGGAACTGGAGTTATAGATGGTTGTAAGATAATGTGGGTGTTGGGATTCAAACCCAAGTTCTCTGCAAGAGCAACAAGTGCCCTAAACCACTGAACCAACCCTGTAGACCTCAGAGTGGTACCTTTGTTAACAGCTGATGAACCAACATCGTTACATCATGTTCACCCAGAGTCACCATTCATATTCTTGCTTTCATTCTATGGCTTTAGACAAATGCATAAGGACATGTATTAATTGTTGCAGCATTATACAGAATGGGTTCATTCCTCAAAACATTCTGTAGCTTTCCTGTTTACCTACCCCCTTTAGTCAACTTTAAGACTAGCCTTCATGTCTTCTGTAGAAAGTTGGTGTCTTTAGTTAGGGTTTCTATTGCTGCAACAAAACGCCATGATCAAAGAGCAAGTTGGGGAGGAAAGGCTTACACTCCCAGATTATAGTCCATCACTGAAGGAAGTCAGGACAGGAACTCAAGCAGGGCAGGATCCCAGAGGCAGGAGTTGATGCAGAGGCCATGAAGGGAAGCTGCTTACTGGCTTGCTTCCCATGGTTTGCTCAGACTGCTTTCTTATAGAACCCAGGACCAACAGCCCAGGCGTGGCACCATCCCCCATGGGCTGGGTCCTCCCCCATTGATCGCTAAATGAGAAAATGCCTTACGGCTGGATCTCACAGAGGCATTTCCTCAGCTGAGGCTCCTTCGTCTCTGATGACTCTAGCTTGTGTCACGTTGACACACAAAACCAGGCAGTAAAGTTGGTGATGTGTGGCCTGTTTCTTGAGCCCAAGGGAAAAGGGGTTGTTTTTCAGTCAGTAATTGGAATACTAGGACATACATCTTGGTGCTGTGGAGAGAAGACGTGATGGTCAAGGAAGTCAAGTCTGCATGAAGAAGACAGGAGGGCAGGAATGATGTGGGTGATGCCAGCTGAGGTGTGCTCACTGTCAGGAAGGCCCAGAGTGAGCAGATCCCTCTACCTTGAGTATTCACTCAGGGGCTTCCTGTTGCAGAGACATTGATGTTGACAAGGCACCACTTAGATAGTGCGTGAACTCAGCTGGCCTGGCGATGTAGGTTTCATTACCCCTGTCCTGTGCATAACAAGAGCTCAGACATAGGAGCTTCTTCCAAGGTCATGACATGGGAAGGAGGGGTTTAGGATGCTGCCTTGGCCTTTCTACTATCTTGCCCTCTTAGCTCCCTGTTTTGAGGCAATTTTTCTCCACTGGTCATCCATCCTGAATCCTATACAAACTATCACTAGAGTTCCTGGGTGACTCTAAAGCTCTGAGAGGTCAGTCCATTCTCTGTCCTGAACAGCACTGTGTCCCTGGAAATCAGAGGGACAACTGTTGCCATTGGTGTCTATAGATATAAATACAGGGAATAGAAAAGAATTCTATAAGGATGGGTAGTTCTGTGTGCAGCCCGACATATTCTTAGTCTATATTTCCTAGAAAAAAAAAAAACAAGTGGGGAAAAAGGTTTAAGTCATCGATTTCTAGTTAATATGAGCGTGCTAAAGAATAAAGCACTATTTTCTGGTTTCAACATGTCAAGGTTTCATTTCTGTGGATTTAATAAAATACTTCCAGCAAAAAGCAATGCAGGGAAGAAAAGGGTTTGTTTTGGTCTACAATTCCAGATTATAGTCCATCATTGTGGGGAAGTCAAGGCAGGAACTTCAACTAGTCACATCCCATCCACAGTCACAAGCAGAGAACAGTGAATGCATGCATACTCATCCATAGAAAGCTTTCTTGTTGTGCTATCTTCGGATCGCCAGCCCCCAAGAAATGACATGGAGACTTCTTATTAATTATGAAAGATTGGCCTTTAGCTTAGGATTGTTTTCAACTTGTTCTTTCTTTTTTGGGTGGGGGGAGATTCGAGACAGAGTTTCTCTCTGGCTTTGGAGGCTGTCTTGGAACTAGCTCTTGTAGACCAGGCTGGTCTCGTTCCAATTAGTTCTTATAACTCAAATTAACCTTCTTCTATTAGTCTACATTCTGCCACATGGCATTTACCTTTCCTCAGTATGCCAAGTCCTACTTGCTCAAGTCTGCTGGTGAAACCCACACGCCTAAATTCTTCCTCCTCTTCCTCTCTCTCCCCGGAAGTCCCGCCTACCCTCTCCTGCCTAGCTATGACCATTCAGCTCTTATTACACCAATCACAGCAATGCATCTTCACACCGTGTACAAACATCCTCCAACACTCATCAGCTTCCCTACTTGTGCCCAGCTCACTTTTTCCACTCTTTACGAAGTTCAGAACCCCCTGCTTTGGGAATGGTGATACCACAGCGAGCTGAGGCTTCCATCAGTTAACTTTAGAAAATTCTCTACAGACATGCCCACAAGATGGCCCATTGTAGACAAGCCCTCACTGAGCCTCTCTTCCCAGGTGAGTCTAGGGGGTGTCGAGTTGACAATAAAAGCTAGCCATCACCCACATGCCCTTGTGTGTAAAAGAAACACTGTCTCGGGCATCTAAGAATGTTCACAGTCACATGTGAGGAAACAATAGTCTAGCAGCATTCTACAATAGCCTCTGAGTTTGCAATCACAGGTGGCAGAGTATCTGCAACACCTCTCCCCACACAGTCACCTTCCATGTAACTGGGATGAAGGTAGAAGGTTGTGGGATGCACGGGACCATAGAAATACCAGACACATAGGGTGTGGATCAGAGTGTCTTGCTTTTCACTAGCAATTCCTTTTTGTCTGAAAAACTGTTATGTGACACCTGGATATATAGATAAATAAGTTAGATATACCAATCCAGTTTACTGGTAGTAAATCATAATTATTTTATTCTCTCTCTCTCTCTCTCTCTCTCTCTCTCTGTGTGTGTGTGTGTGTGTGTGTGTGTGTGTGTGTGTGTGTGTAGTCTATGCACTTGTATACAAAGGGTGCATGTTCATGCAGAGGCCAGAGATTGGCCTTGGGCATCTTCCTCCATTACTCTTCACCCTATTCTTTGAAGCATGATCTCTAGCTGAATCTAGAGCTCACTGATTGGCTAGACTGGCTGGCCAGTGAGCTCCAGGGATCCATCTTCCTCTACCCCTGACCCTCCTACCCCACCCCCATTGCTGGGGGTTACAGGCAACCATCGCCAAACCCAGCTTTTACATGGTACTGGGAATCCAAACTCAGGTCGTCATGCTTGTACAGCAAGAACTCTACTCCCCGAGCCATCTCCCCAACCCAAAAACATGTATTTTAAGACAATTTTTATATACATTTAATTTTACCACTTACTAAGGACTAAAGCAAATTTGCATACTAATGAGATGAATGTGCTTATTTTTACATAAAGATAAAATCTTGGCTGAGTGCTTGATATGGCAGGATGTAGAGCATCCTCAGCGTTTTCCAGAGTTGATCGATATTTTGATTCTATAATCGCCAATGCTGGTACAACATGGTAGAAGTATATTTAAGGCCACTTCAGAAATTGTTGGAAACTCGGTCCTAATCTCAAGCCAAGATTCATTTAATGATGTTTTATGAGACTTTATAGTCAGCAACTCAAAACATGGTTTTCAAAACCAAATACTCTATCACACTACAATTAAAAGACAGACTGATTGATGTTGAGGAATGACAGTAGGGAAAAAAAGCATTGTTTGTGTAATGGAACCATTATGCTTCTGTAGAAGGAAGCTGTGTACAGTATACACACTGTGCTTCACAACATACAAAATGTCTTGAATCTGGACAGGGGTGTTTCTAGCAGTGGAAAGCATAGCAAAGAGTGGAAGTGTTGAGTGTTCAGAACCAAGGCTGCCGTGAGACCCTGACATGCAACACAGGGGGGGGGGACCACCAGGACACCCCAGATTCCTTACAGGTTTTATTGTTAAGTATTTATGGTGGTTTGGCATTCAGAAACCTTTTAGTGCTACCAATTTCTGTGAACTCCCACATTCAGTCACATGGCCCCATTGGGGGGTCTGTGCTGGTTTGTATGGGAATGGCCCCCATAGGCCCATAAATTTGAATGCCTGGTCACCAGGGAGTGGTACTATCAGGAGGTGTGGCCTTGTTGGAGAAGTGTGTCACAGGGGGTGGACTTTGAGGCTTTAAATGCTGAAGCCAGGCCCGGGGTCTCTCTCTCTCTCTCTTCCTGCTGCCTGCAGATCCAGATGTTGAGCTCTTGGCTGCACACGGCCGTGCTTCTCACCATGACGATCGTAAACCATCTCCAATTAAATGATTTCCTTTTGCAAGAGTTGCTGTGGCCATAGTGTCTCCTCATAGCAATAGAAACCCTGACTAAGACAGGGTCCTAACCACATCCTGGGATGTGGGTGTCACCTAACACTTTTTAAATACTTACTGTGTTCGGTGCACTGTACAAGGGTTTTCCATACAGTGTCAACTGTGGCCATCCCAGTGCTCAATAAAACAAGGGCTGTGTATTCTCGCTTTCAGTGATGAGGAAACTGGGATTCTCAGTGGCTGAGTAACTGGCAGCATCAAGCAGTGGGTGATGGCAGAGCTGTTGATTCTGCCTCAAGCTTGTGACCCCAGCCTCTATAGGGTCCCACTACTCGGCAGTGTGAAAAGGGAACAAAGAGGTCAACTTTGAGAGTCACTCCTGGTTCCTGCCACCACGA